TTTACTACAGACGATGCAGAACATTAAACCAATACCCCCGCGACAATATAGCAACCGGGTGCAACTAAATAAAAACCTTGAAACATGCAAATTTGTTTTCGTTCGAGTTGACGCTGTCAAGAAGCCATTAAAACCACCATACGAAGATCCCTATAAAGTAACCAAACGTACTCCCAAACATTTTATTATCATTCGAAATGGGAACAAAGAAACTATTTCCATTGATAGAATTAAACCAGCGTTTTATGAACCGACTCAACTTAAAGAAGTTAACATCGATGAACAACAACCTCTCCCTTCTGTTCCTGAGAAACCAATGGAAGAGGACAAGTTTCATCTTAAACCGTCTTTAACTCGCTCCGGTAGGTTGGTAAAGAAACCTAAGCGCTACGTACATTTCGCCGACTAACAAAAATCGATTTAATTACACGCATTTTATTGTTGTTACTCAATTTTTTAATAAAAAGCTATTTATTTTCATTACATGTACATTTAATAACTACATTTATTTATTATCACTGGTTTTGCCAATTTTTTTTTAATAAGAAAAATTGCCATAGTAATAAACGAGTGAATGCAAACCAACTATTCATTAAATTCATCCAGTTTTTAAAAATATTTTATGACTCTATTAACAGTTTTTCACATTTTATTATTATTATTATTAGCAAACCAAAACTTTTTAATGCTCGTTTTTTCAGTTTCATTTTGCGTAGCATTGCCTATATTATTAACGTGTCATTTATTCCTATCTCCACCTTTTTTTCATTATTACAGTAAATACTATTTTATGTACATTTATACACAATATTTCCCAATTTTTGTTGTTCATATTGTAATCAGTGTTACCTCCGGACACTCTGGGGGGAGCTATGTGGAGACAGAACCTTAAAACCTATTTTGTAAATCATTTTTCATAGTTTTTGCATGTATTTTCATATTCTGTACATTAAGCATTAAACAATTGTACTTGTTGTTTAAGTGTATTACTTTGAACACTTGTAACTTGACTCCCTTCCGTTTTGAGTACAACATATCGTGGCACTGTTACTGGTCCTCATTAAATACACTCTAATTCACATCTGCATCGTTCTGCTATGTCTGCTAATATGTTAAATGAAATATTAATTGCATACTATCTACGTTTATAGACAATTGTGACATTCTTATTGAATTCTACGCTTGGTAAACCTGCTGGATCTATATCGTCCATATTGGGATTACTAATCTTTTATAATTGTGGATTATCTAGACCAAACTCAACTGAACATGCAATAGCCTGAAGACTTAAGTAACGTCCCTTATTTTGTTGTTTGTGTGTAATTAACTTATTAACTGTTCATTGTTACATAAACTATAGACATAATATTTTTTGTTGCTAATTTTTGGTTATCATACATTTTGGTCCACCACAATTATTTGGTGAGCCCTAGTATTTGTTTATCTCATATTTATCCCATTGCTACACGGTTTATCTGTTTATTGTACGACCCTCTATCTGATTTATAACTTAATGTACTCTCCACCTAAGCTTAGTGATGTGGACCCTATTCCAGTAACCACTCTTAGTTCATCATCTAACCTTACTGACAGTATATTTAGTCCAGTCAACGCCATTTCTGAATTTAGGCTTCCACCATATGGAGTAAATAATCCCAGTAATGGCGACACCTGTTCCTGGCATCACGGCAAGCCGTCTCTTTCACATCCGGGACCGTATTTCTGGCTCTGACTTTTCAGTCGATACGGAAGTCACTTGAATTCCGTTTTCGGTTTATTCACATGCAATACGGGTTTGGAGAATATCTAAATGACCTCTGAAACTCTCCACGAACTCCACGATAATGTTTGCTACTTCACATCCAATTGCTACATAAACAATGCCCAAACGAACTTTCAGTACAATTGTCAGTATACGAAATGATGTTACTTCGATGTGACATTACAACACATCCGAACTATTGTAATTATTTAATTTCGACGTCGTATTTTTTTTATCCTATGAAGTATTGTTTCCGCGTAGCTGTTATCTAATAGATGATTTCGGTACATCAATCGGCTGTTCAACTACTCGACGATCTAAAGCCTGTCCAGTTCAATTGGTGGTTTTACGACACATTCACGCGAATCTTCAATTTACGCAGTCGAGCGAATCTCCTGCAAACTGACAACGATATTGTGGTCACTACCCTAACACTGATATCATTGACATGAGTCCAGAGTGACACTCTTGGCTTATGTTCTTTTCGACATTTTTTGGTGCACTCATGAAACACATGTGCAGCACTCACCGCTTATCATCTTTTAGAGATTTCATCGTGCCACCTTCGCTCCCGCTCTGTATTCTTCGACCCCTATTGATTTTCACAGCAGTTATCAGTTTTTTGCAAACTGACTGCAAGTTGATCAGAAGCTTCGCACAAGGAAACCACGACTTATCTTCACGGTTATACTTCTGTACTTACCGTTAGTCTGTTAAATATAGATATAACTAGAAATCGACGCTTACGAACAGTTGTCAACAACACTTATTGACTTTCTACTTTGTACCGAGGGCAGTACAAACATCGGCATCATTTGGTAATACACTTATCGTACTATCACCGTGACATCACTACTCCCTCATCTGAGGAATTCAACCACTTGTCAAAGCTATCTTTTTCAACGCGACTTGATAAAACTCTAAAATGTCATGTTTCTTTTTTTATTATTTCTATGGTTGATTGCTTAACATTCAACCAACGTCCTTGTCACGTGTTATTACTCGTTGTTTCCCGATCAGTTTCTGCAGCCTTCTTTCCATTTCTCTTACAGCTCGGCAATACCCGGAGGATTCATATTAATCGTCTGGCAACCTCCGGCGCGCGACTACTCCCAACATGTTTGGTATCGATTCAAACGGCCGTTGAATCTGGTGGGGGAGTATTGTAGGGTCACTGAATATCGAACAGATCATTGATCCCTGTCAAGGTCAAGAATAGTCAACGCGCATCAATCAATCTTACGCCATGGACTGGCCCACGCGGCAGTGGTTGTTCTTTCATTTTTGTATTTTCGTGGTTGTACCTTAACTAATATATTCTTGTAATAACGTCCTTTGTGTTGTACAGTCTCCATAGCGTCCATGATCCTTTGATGCGTCGATGGTTCAATCCACATAAGGGCTGGTCGCGAGGTGTGACTTCAGCGTTAGTTGGTTCGTCCCCATTCTCGTCTAACTATAGTAGGTCCCCAATCATTTCGACATAGAACATCAACGTTGATGTTCTACAATACCAAAAACCAAGGAGTCTAACAGTGTATCTCACGTATACGAGAATGCTGATCGATAAAGTACTGACATTCGTCAGTTACAAAACTCCCTAGACGAAATTTACAGTAGACTTAACCAACTAGCACCCCTCACACACATATGGGGTATTAATGCCGATAAAAATCTCGAACAACTCACTAAAGCTGAGTGTATTTTAGATTTCGTGGCTGAAGAAGTGACGAAAAGAATGATGTCTTCCCACAATGCAGTAGTTTACAATCTCCCTGATCGCATACACCCAAATAAGTTGAGGGACATCTGCCTTAAAGCGTGCGATATGCTGAAAGTCAACTGCCAAGTCATCCGCCTTAGAAAAAAGTCGGATAGATTGACTTGCCCTCTGCCATTTAAGTTTGACTGTCTTAACGATGCTAAGCAATTTATTGATTTGAGCAAAAATATTAGCTCATTAATTCCATACAAAAGCATAAAAGTCACTCCTGACCTAATACCGTGCCAACGTCGTATAAGAAGACCTGAAGCAATAGAATCGTATGATAGAGTGATAGTAAAAATCAGCTAAAGACAGTATGCAACAAAATGAGTGATATAAAGCGCATGGATAACAAGCATGATGTTATACCACAAACGACTGGTCCATCCGTAGATCTAGATGAGTCTGCAGATCTGAAATCTTTGAATAAGATACGGTCCCCATCTGTCACTAAAAGGCGTGACGGCATCTCTGATCCCGGGTGTTCGCTCAGTATAATACCAAAATGTGGGCCGTGTAACGAAACACACCCAACTAAACATATTCATGTAAAAATTGGTTCCACAAGAGGATTCGAATGAACCTAAGTTCATCTCACAGAGGCCAAGAAACCCTTCATCTCTGACAAAAAAGACTGGGGAGATAAAACCCAAAATATAAAATAGGGGGACACGTAAGGTTGAGGCCAACTGTTCTGTGGGTATCCCAACAATAGTGAATAGGTTCTATCCGCTGATATCATGTAACTTGCCATCAACACCTCGCACAATGGGTAGTACGCTTGAGCGTAACAAAACTTTTTACACGCACACTCACAAAAACTATCAGAATACTGATCACTCCACTCACCTTCTTAAGCCTAAAACCGTTAATAAGCATGGTAATTACAGGTTCCTCACCCACACCCTATGTACATTCCCCAGAATCACAATTGTAATTACTCTCAGAATGAGAACTTTCCAGTATCAACCCACCACATGAAGACGGCCTCCATATATAACAGCAGTCGTAACCACTTCCAGTTACGAGCATCAGACCCCCCTTATGCTCGCACTAGCGCAAATAGTTATAACAGAAGCTACGAGCTTAACCATCAAAACTGTCTTGCAAATAACAGTACACTTTACAGTCAACATGTACCAGATTTTTTTGGAATAAGGCCCCTAGTTGCACCCCTGTTGAAGCATATAGCCCTAGTCATTTCAAACCAAGTGCGGAACATAAACTCGCTTCCCCCGTACAGTTCGCATCAGGAAGTACTCCCACCCTTTCCTCCTGGATAAACTCCCCAAGCAACTTCACTAGCTCATTTGATACATGCCCCAGTAACTCTAGCTATCAAAATACAGAGCTATTGAAAAACACTCAATCCATTACTTCAAACATACATCACTATGATAATTAGAAGTATTTGAATTGTAGTATGAACTAGTAATCCCAGGAATAACGCAACTTAATCAAGAAGTACCAGATGAACTCGAACGAATGTATTGTATTTGGAATTCAAAATTACAACAGTCATCAATACGAAGAAGTCATTGATTTATTTAAACATCACATCCGCCACAGCTCGAATTGGAGTGTAAGTGTCTGTAATCGATTGTTCGTCCTCTTCTTAAGTTCATCTTACATCTGTCCGACGGTGTATTGGATGTAGACTCTGTATTATCTAGAATGCACTCATTAGTATTAGAATTAACAACCGAAATTGGAACAGACTCACCTGGATTCTGGTATTGTATTTGATCAACGTGTCGGTTATGTATGGTCAAGTCATTGATATCCAGAATTCGCACCATAGATTTTCCAACATTCTTCACCACGATCCCCGTGGCTGGTCGAAGATCATTACCACGATAATACGTAACTTCTGCAGACTCCAAACACCTCATATTCGAACGGAGAATTCTTCCTTTTAATAGCTTTGATGGAGTCTCTTTCGTCACAGAATGCTTAGCATTTCTATATTGAAGTAGAAATGTATCTACTCCCCTCTCCAGTTCATTGAATGTCGAAGCAGCAATAGAATCAATAGCAATTTTCAATGTTCTTACGAAATTTTCTGCCTGATCATTGGAACAAGGGTGCCTGGGAGCCGTAAACAGATGTCTGCACCCTATACCATTTAACCAATTAGTGACTGCATCTGCAGCAAAATGAGAGCCATTATCAGTCACCAACACCATGGGAACTCCTTCTCGACTAAACACCTTCCTTAATGCTTGAATTGTGAAGTCAGAATTCGGTGAAGTTGTGAAAAAAACTTCAGGCCACTTAGAAAAAGAATCAATAATTACAAGTGCATAGTATTTGCCAAGAAATGGACCACAGTAGTCTGCATGAATTCTCTGCCAGGCCTCAGACGATACTGGCCATGGAGTCCACTTCGAAGGCAGACTTTTTAGCTTATGACATTTCTCACAATTGTTTGCTGTACGACATATATCTGCATTTATCTCTGGCCACCAACATGTGAGTCTTGCTAAGGATTTCATTTTCTCAACACCAAGATGTCCACTATGAAGATCATCAAGGACAGGTTTGCGTAATGAAGGAGGAATAACAACACGATCATTTAAACACAAAATACCGTCAGGAGTAGTAGATAACTCGTCCCGCTTTGAATAATAGACAGGAAATCTACGTTTCAGATTAGCATTCCAACCCTTCCGTATAGCACTGAGTATACATCCAAAGTATCTACGAGTTTCTCTAATGAGATCTGGACGTCTCACCGGTAAAGGTTGCACTAACAAGCAGTCTGAAGTATTAACAGGTCTATCTTGTAATGGTTGTCGAGAAATGTAGTCAACGTGTTGAATTTGTTTTGCACTCCTGTGCTGAATCGTATAGTCATAAGCACTCAAAGCAATACTCCATCGTTGAACCATAGCAGCTGAGGAACGTGCTAAGGATTTGTCAGGATGATAAATGAACTTTAAGGCTTCATGATCAGTAACAATGGTAAACTTATTTCCAAATAAATATTTATGAAGTCTTTTAACAGCCCAAAACACAGCTAACGCTTCTCGCTGCGTTTGTGAATAACCTTGTTCAGCAACAGAAAGTTTGCGTGAAACACATATAACTGGCCTACCTTCCTGTTCCAAAACTGCACCAATACCTACAGGTGACGCATCAGTAATAAGAACAGAATGTACACTGGGTGAGTAAGTTCGAAGGACAGCATCACTTTGAAGAAACTTTAGCAGACTTCGTAGGCATGACTCTTGTTCTTCACCCCATTTGAATGAATTGGATGTCAAAATATTAAATAAACAATTGGCACGACAAGAAAAATTAGGAATAAAACGAGAATAGTACTGAAGAGCACCCACTAGTGAACGTAATCCTGTGATGTTTTTTGGAGACGGTGCATTTGTCAGTGGAGCTAGTCGTTTCATATCTGGTCTAAAACCATTACCATCAACTAGGTATCCAAGGCATTCAAAACTAGATACACTAAATGAACACTTATTTGGATTCACTGTAATATTCTTCTCAATTAAACGACGCAATAAAGCAATAAGTCTCTGGTCATGGACTACTTTATCAGCACCATGAACAATGAGATCATCTTGATAAACTTCAACACCTTCAATATCGCTGACTATCTTATTCATGACCTCTTGAAATATGGCTGGAGAACAACTAAGACCAAATGGAAGGAAGTTGTATTTGAACAGACCAAAAGGAGTGTTAATTGTTGTCAAGATAGATGAAGATTGGTCTAAAGGGATTTGAAGATAAGCATCTTTCAAGTCAACTTTCGAGAACACTTTAGAACCATGAAGCCGATTTAGAATATCTTCAGCCTCCATCGTCGTGCATGTTTGCTTCAACAAACGGGAGTTCAGTGTCAATCTGTAATCACCGCATATTCTAGGGGTCTTGCCATCCGATTTCAATGGCGTAACAATAGGAGTACCCCATGCTGAGGACTGAACTGGTTCAATTATACCTTTCGCACACAAATCATTCAGTGACTTATGTACTGCTTCTCGAAGACCATAAGGAATTATTCGTCTTTTAAGAAAGACCGGATCACCCTGTACTTGAAGTTTAATGGGCTGAATTTTCATACCTCCACTACACTTAGCACACACAGCTATCAAATCCTTGAGTAAAGCATCAGAATTCTCTGTAGAAACTAGTAGAGACAATTCCACTTTAAGCCTTTTCAGATTTTTTAAACCCAGTATGGACAGTCCTGTTTCACTAACTAAAAATTCACAAGGTACGTATGAAGAATTATCATCTCTTATTAGCAATTTACAACATCCTCGTATAGGTAGTCTGTGTCCAGTAATCCCCAGTATTGAGACCTCAGTGGGTTTTACCACAACATTAGGATCTAAAGATTTCAAGTTCTTGAATGAAATAATGGACTCTATACTACCTGTGTCCACAATAAAGTCATGAAATGAACCAAGGGATGTATATAATCGCTTTTGAATATGAACATTCCCTTTTGAAGTAGTGGATAAAGATAAATGATCATCAAGAACAGCCGAATTATTGGGATCTAAGTTACCAGACTTAGTAATACTTGAAGCAAAGTGAACAGTAGTTTTGCACACTGACTGAATGTGTCCTATCTTGCCACATTTAAAACATTTAGCATTACGAAATGTACATGAATTACGAAAATGAAATTTGCCACAAGATAAGCATTTACCAAACTTATTCTCACCTTTGTTGTTTGCTTTGCAGTTCCTTGTTAAACCACCTTTCATATTTCCACGGGAATAGCAATCACGATTAAACGAACGCAAATTTGATCGACCCTGAGATTGTAATTCATCAAGACGACTAAGCAAAGTATTAGAAATTTTCATCGATTGAATATCAAGTTCATTCACTGCTTCGTAGTTAATACATGCAGTTCTAGCATTTTGAAAAGAACAGTTCGGCATTCTTAACAGCTCCTTTTCCAGACCTGGTATGTTAATTCCAGCAATTAACCGATCTCTCAACTGTACATGAAGCTGATCACCAAAATTGCATTTGGCAGCTTGTCTTTGCAATTCAAGGATGAAGTCTTTAACCTTCTGGTTATCCTGACGAATCATCTTATGAAATTTTGCTCTCTCACGACACTCAAAACTGGTGCACTTCACATGGTTTAATAGTAATTCCTTGAGAGTTGTATATGGGAGTGAAATCGGCTTATCTGGATATGCCAAGGTTTTTAATAAACTGTAGGCTTCTTGACCGATGAATGTAAGAAAATGTGCCACAATTTTGTCACCCTTCATATCTTTCTTGGTCATGCTCCATATCTCAAACCTTTCAAGGTAATCCTCACAAGCTTCAGAAGTTGAATGAATGTCCAACTGTTGTATCGCAGGCTCCATCGCGACGCCAATATGATAATTAGAAGTATTTGAATTGTAGTATGAACTAGTAATCCCAGGAATAACGCAACTTAATCAAGAAGTACCAGATGAACTCGAACGAATGTATTGTATTTGGAATTCAAAATTACAACAGTCATCAATACGAAGAAGTCATTGATTTATTTAAACATCACAATCACTCACGCGAGGATCATGACATCTTTAATCGAGATACTCTCACTCACTTTAACTTAGTAGGCCACTTGTTTAATATGTGTCTTATCAACGCTAGGTCGATCTGCAATAAAAAGACTGATTTAGCTCTGTTTGCTTCCATATATCAACCATCACTTATAATGAAGCTTGGACTAACAGTAATATTTACGATCTAAGTATATCTCTTGATAACTACCTCCTATATAGAAGCGATAGATTGAAAGGACGAGGCGGAGGATGCCTTATTTATGCTCACTCTAGCTTAAACTCACTACTATGCGATATACCTGGACTAAACAAACTGAAGGACTCGGTGTGGATTGTTTTAAAGCCATCAAATTCCATTACCTTACTGTTCGGCTGTATCTACCAGCAACCTAACTTGGCAATAGGTGAAATAGCAGTATCATCAGAGGTATTCACACTAGCATCATCCCTTCCATTCACAGGCAAGCTCATTTGTGATGACTTCAACATGCCTGAAATTTCTTGGTTTCCAGTCAAAGCTCCGAAACGTTATGAATCATTTATTGAATGTCTAGAACTAGGACAGTGGACTCAATATGTTAGTAGCCCTACCAGACATCAAAATATCTTGGACTTAGTCTTTACCAGTGGCCTCACCCCCAATATTGTGTATATTGGAAAAGTTCCCAGGTAGTGATCATAACACTGTTGTATGTAGCCTTAATATAAAAAACACAAACGGTAGACGTAAAAATGTAACCCTTCGTAGAAACTATCTCAAGGTAGATTGGAATAATTTTCACAATTACCTAAGAAGCACTGACTAGGGAACATTCTTTACTGCAAATAATACCGACACACTAACCAATATATTTTATCACAACATCGAAAGTATCATGAACAAAATCGCACCTTTAGAGTACTGGAGACCTAAGTTTTCTAAAGATCTGTTTATACCGGTCGGTACACGAAGACGTCTGCAGAGACATTGTACTCGCTTCCACAACTCTAATGACTCCTCTTTAATAACGATGACAGAAATACTTGTCCAGACAGACGCAATAAGTACACAAAAAGCAATCGAACAGGAAAAACGTGCTGTCGAACTTAGTAATAACTCCTCAGCGCTCACCACACTCAAAATAAACTTAAACGTTCTAAGTCGAGAGGAAACATATTTATTAAAGACAAACAAGTATACGAAGATCCTAAACTTGTTACGGAACTATTTAATGAACACTTCTGTTCCTCATTAACTGATGAAAACCACTTAATGGTTCAAAACTTATCACAGCATCTGCCTGTGAGATTACTAACGTAGACTTCAATGTACAGAATATCTCTAAGGCAATTAGTACATTGAAACACTCCTACACTGATGGACCAGATGGTATTCCGGCTAGCATGCTAAAACATGGAGGTGATGAAATGTGCGTTTTATTACTCAAACTATTTGCGATATTACTCTACAGCGCATTACCCCACTGCCTGGAAAACTACACACATCATTCCAAAAATTAAAACAGGACCCGAAGCAAATGTTGAAAATTACCAACCCATAAGGATAACTTCAGTGGTGTCTAGAGTGATGGAGAAAGTAGTTAAGGCGGCGTTAGTCCAACATCTAATTACTAACAATCTCATCTCGGTTTCCCAACATGGATTTCTTAGGTCCAGATCATGTGACACATGCCTAGTGGACTACATGAATGATATAACTCTGAAACGAGACAACGGACTCCTTGTATCAGTCATATTTTTAGACTTTAGGAAAGCTTTTGATAAGGTTCCACACAAACGGCTACTAGCCAAACTACGGTCCTTCGGAATCAACAACCCACTCTATTCATGGTTTGTTTCATTCTTAAAGGGACGTAAACAAATGGTAAAGTACAACGACTGTCTCATTACCTAGACCAATAACTAGTGGCGTCATCCAGGGAAGTGTATTAGGCCCACTTTTGTTTCTCATGTATATAAACGATATATGTAACATCATAAAATCTGGGAAACCATACTTATATGCTGATGATCTCAAAATAGTATACAGCTATAAGCCTGAGGTTCTAAGTGAAAGTGTACGCCTGATTCAAGATGACCTCAATAACCTAACTATCTGGAGCGAAAAGTGGCAATTACCATTTAACCTCCACAAATGCGGGATCATGTACTTTGGAAAGCACCCCTATGAACCCCAACTTTACTTAAATAAAAGTAAAGTCCAGACACTTAATTCAGTACACGACCTAGGAATAAATTACACAGGAAGCCTAAACTTTAAAGCACACGCCTCCTTTATTATTTCTAAAGCCAGACGTCCAATTGGCTTCATAACAAAAAATTTCTTCACGACAGATGCCAAGCTTACCCTCTACAAAATATGTGTACGACCTTCCTTAGAATACTGCTCTTTTATCTTCTCTAATATGAATACCACTGACAAAATAAGAGATGTTCAAAGACGTTTTACACGCCAACTTCTAGGAAGTGACACCACTCTTGATTACACAAGTAGATGTAAGCACCTCTCTTTAGAACCTTTATGGCACCGTAGGTTAAGGAACAATCTGATATTTTTCTACAAAGCAATAAATGGACTGTCATTCCTAACCTCCTGCCCAACTATAATCAATGACCCAGCCTATAGACTAAGAAACAATGCATATACACTATTTACCGAAAAACACCAAAAACAAATGCGTTGTAAGTTTTTTACAGTTCGGTATAGTTTATTGCGGAACAGGTTGCCAATACCTATCCGTAACTGTGATACCTTTACCAAATTTAAAAGGCTAATAACCCTGTTACTAAACTCTAAAGAACTTCACCAACTATTCCTTGAACTCCCGCCTACCAATGAGGCACTTTATTATGGACCGCCCAATATCTAGACGGAACAAGAATATAACGAACTCCACTGTCGTTAGTATGTATATAGCAAAACTAAAGAAAACATGCTTTATCCTTCCCCACTATTTATTGATTATTAACCATGGCCTTCCGCTCCTAACCCTCATTTTCAGTTTCCGAATCTCTCTAATGGATAAATCCAAATTATTCTTCCTAAGTGTCATGTCCTTTTATTTTTCCTATTACAAGTAGACAGATAACTCACTAATCTTATGGATGCTGACCAACTAAGGCCGATCAAAAGAAGCTCATACGTCCTAAATTCTTGTGAGTTGTTCAATGTTTTATTTTTTCTTACAATATTTATTATCATATCCTCTGGTCTGCTATTAGCCCTTACCATCTCTTAACCACATATAATCTGACTTGTCTCTTCTAACCTTTACCATTAGTTATATTCATAGTAGTACGATATATTAAATGGATATCTAACCCATAATACAAATGCTATTACCATCTGATTTGCTTGTAACATGGAACTTGTAGAGACAGTGTATTCCAAATATTTATTTATTTTATTTAAACACATATATATTGGTACAAAAGGGCACCAGGTACATATGCGCCACACGTATTCCAAATATGGTCCTTGATAAGAGCACTATTCATACCGACCACAAACGTAAGAGAGCCTAACATCATAAAAGGAGGGAGGGTGGCGTTACTGACCAGCAAACATGATGGTGGGGAGATAACTTCAATCCACCCGTGTCTGTGGGGCAGAACATATTAAATTACGGCTCCTTATGTCAAGTGGGATGTCACGAACCAACGGTATTGATGCGAAATTATTCATGCAAAATACCACTTTGAATCATGTTAAAAAAAGCTGAATTGGTTCCACTTCCTACCAAGTAATCCTAATACAAGCAAACTAGACAATTGGCTAAAAGCGAAGCCCTCTCTATATCCTGTAAACAAAAAAAGAGAGTTCAAACAGCTTCGAAAAAAAGGGACAGCCATTTGTATCGGAATACTGTTTTCAGCACTTTATTTTATAATTACACAATTCCATACTTCCTTCTGAACTACCTTCATTTATACAGTTCCTTATCCATTCACACCTTGCCCACACTTATTTTTCTTTAACACATTAGTATGTTCTTACCTAATAAATACTTCAGTAACAGACAAATAGACTAAATGGTTATACCTTAACTATTCCTCCATGAAAATTGTGTGCTCTGCTTTTCGTCCTTCCCTTTTCTTACACCTTTTTCAGCCTCCTGCAGATACTCCACCGAAAACAGAAATGGCATGGGTGACTTCGTCCTACACCGTTATTAATGCTTCCGATATTCTGGAGGGATATAAGTTCGAAACTTCTAAAAGCCCCCAACTTCGCATTTATCTATTCTCGACCATCAGTTGTATGTTGCAACGCTAACTCCATAAAGTGCGTCAAGTGTGATATTGACATGTTCCTTATGAAATCCATTTACTTTCATATCTTATGAAATATCAACCAGGCTGAGTAATTTTCAACAGTGAAAATTGTAACTTCTTTAATAATTTGATCTCGCCTGTAAACCGGCATGCCTCATTTAACAATCTATTATTTGAGAATAAATTATTATTATTATGCGTTTATATTGCCTGTATGCGTCGTTATGGTCTGTTCGTTTATATTCGACCCAACAGTGCCTTTAGCGGCTTAGCAAACGACGAGTGCGGTTCTTGATGATTGCAGGTTGCTTGTAGCTCTTTGGGACCATTTTAGGAACTGAATGCTCAGTAGCACATAAGATCGTGTGCAGTAAAAAATCCCAATGAGCATCCACTTCAAGTTGAGGGTGAGCATCCCAATCCACCTGTTGTAGATAGTCCTGTAAAGCTAACACATTCAACCGTTTGAAGTTCCAGCGCTTGTTGCCAGTAGTATATCTTAGCTCCGTTTTGCTGACAAAGCTGAATGATAAGACGGCGTGATCACTTTTCCCCAGGGGAGCCAGGATTGAGAGGTCGTCAACTAGGAATTCTTCGTTTGTGAATACCCAGTCTAAGCGTGACGGCGTCTGACTGTTTCTCCAACGGGTTGCCGACTTCACATTTTCAAATAATCC